ATATATATATATATATATATCTCACTCACTATGTGTTCAGTAATATCACTGCAGTTGGTATGAATGAATTTCTATATCTGTCTGTTTTTTGCTTTTTTGGAAATGTATCATTTACCGCGGGTCGACGATTAAAATTCCGATGTCAGTGGGAGGCTACAGTTACTTAGCATTATTTCTGCCTTTTTTTTAGAACCTTTGTTTTGTGCAGATATTCAAAGTTACTTTGGTCTCTACCTTATGTTCTTAATGCCTTTCTGCTCAACTTGTTTATTTTTATAATGTGCTGCTTTCCTAAATTGCTATCGTAGCAAGTGATACCAAAATGTATCAAAGTTTCTATTGTGGTAATGTAGAATATCTGAAGGATGGATGGATTCAGATTGAAAGGCCTACGTTTCCTCAGAAATGTCAACCTCTGATTTACCTTTTTAACGATATTTTTTACGTGGTTTTGCCATGTAAAATTTGTTGTTGATTGTAAGACCAAGATATTTCTATGAATCTGTAATTTCAATTCTTTCTTGTTCAATTACGAGTGTTGGGATTGTTGGTTTTTCTCTTCTAAAATCAAAATCCGTTTCCTTTGTTTTTGAAAGGTTCACCTTTAGAAAATTTGAATTGCACCATTTAAAAAACATCTTCGAAATATTCTTTTTCATCAAGGTTTATTAATCCAATACTAGCGGAGTCATCTGCAAAGTTAATTAAGCATGTTGTTTTATATTTACTTTTATGATCGTTGGTGTATATTGTATACAAAACTGGTGACAAAACACACCCCAGGGGACCGCCGGTGTTACAAAGAATTGTGTCAGATTTTGTTTTGTTTAGCTTCACATATTGTTATCTGCTTGTCACAAATTCGAGGACTCATGCTGCGATAGGATGACTAACTCTCAGACTCAGACTTTTTTAAAGACAATATGCGGTTGGTATTAAATGCTGAGGAAAAATCAACAAAAAGTACCCTCGTATACGTTTTAGATGTTTCAAGGTATTTCAGTATAGAGTCACAAAAGAAGTACAGCATCTTCTACGTTCATCTCTTGTTCATATGCAACGGGGAATGGATCTAGAATTCCACTAACACAATCCAGAATATTTGAGAGGATACATTTTTCAAGACACTTTAAAGCAATGGATGAAAGAGCGACTGGTCGTAAATCATTTAATCAAAATATTTTAGTTTTTTTGGTATTCGTATTACCTCCAATGTTTTCCATAAGGTACAAAACTGTTCAATGAAAAAACAATCTACGGATTTTTAACACGTTCGTATCTCTTATCTTAATGAGTTTGATAGTGTGAGCAGACTACAGGGTACGTGTCATCAAAAGATGAGGGAACAAGAAGGAAACACGATAGATGTGAAGTATCGAACTTTCAACGCTCCATCAAGAGAGAAATAATCACAAACAAGGATGTAGAAAAAAGTCCCAACACAAGAATTTCCAGCTCACGTCTCGAACACACACCGTTTTACAACAAACAATCATTCACAGGGTGTCTATTACTGTCACATCGTGAATTCCAGAGTGTAAACCTTTAAAAACACATACCAGAACACACGTAGACACAAAATACAACACGAAAAAACACACACTACAGTTTGTAGATACAAATTGGAACACGAAAAAACACAGACACCAGAACACGTAGATAAATACAACATGAAAACACACACACCTCTGTTCGTACATACAAACTACAACACGAAAAAACAAAAAACCCAGAACACGTTAACACAATTTACAGCAGGAAAACACGCACACCAGAACATGCAGATACAATTAATTACAACACGAAAACACACACACCACAGTACGTAGACACAAATAAGAAAACAAAAATCACACACCACAGTACTCAGATACAAATTACAACATGAAAAATCACACACCACACTATGCAGATGCAAATTACAACTCGAAAAACACACACCACAATTTAGCAGATACAAATCAAAACGCGAAAAAGCACACACATACCAGAACACATCGATACAAATTACAACACGCTAAAGCACACACCACAGTTCATTAACAAACTGCAATGACAAGAAGAAAGTGTAGGCTAAACAAGAACGATCATTCTATGCTGGCGGGCGGCAGGTGGGGAGCTTCACTCACAGTCTGTCTGTCTGATCATTGGCTCGTGAGAGAAGTGGAGAGAGAGAGAGAGAGAAAGG